AAATACTATGCAAAAGATGTCAGACAAAATTAACTTTGAAGAAAAGGGCATTATTTGATATTCTCCAAGAAGGCAAAACTTAAAAATGAAGTAATGGAATGTTTCAAGTGTCTCCTGTGAGCTAGGATTCTTTTCATCTTTATACTATTTTGTACAGGCAAATGGATTTGTGTTTGTGTGCTTTCCACGTGGAATTAATTCCTAATAAGTTTATAGTCTTTCTTGTTAGAAACAGTGATATTTCAGATGAACTCCTTTACATTAATTTAATCAAGTTTCAGTGGTCCCACGTCCTTTCTCAGTTCTCAGCATATAAATTATCAACATTATTTAAAGTCTTAGTTTCCTCCTGCCATGTAATATGCCACAGCGGCATGAGCCCAAGGAATAAAATCTTATTCTCACTGCCTAAAGTTTTGCAGGATTGGAAGTTAAATACACCATCAAATATTTAAATATACTGTTTTGTAACAAATATAAACATTTGCATGGGGGAGGGGAAGGAAAAAAAAAGGTTAGAGAGGGAGGGAGCCAAAACATAACAGACTCTTAAAAACTGAGAACAAACTGAGGGTTGATGGGATGTGGGAGGGAGGAGAGGGTGGGTGATGGGTATTGAGGAGGGCACTTGTTGGGATGAGCACTGGGTGTTGTATGGAAACCAATTTGACAAGAAATTTCATATTAAAAAAACCAAATATAATCATTTGTTTTACAGTACTGTGCTAAGCATTTTTTTAAGAGGAAGAAAATAAACTTGGACATTATTTTAGTTTAAGATAGTTTTTGCACTTTGTACTATTTCATGAGCCTAGGAAACTTAGAATATTCTGACATGGCCCACACTGAGGGCTCCTGAGTTAGTTTTCTATTTTGTCACACAACAAATTAACAACCTGGTGGGATAACACAGTTTTGAGCCCAAGGTAGTCAAAGCTATGAGAGTCAGCTTCAAAGAACTCATGCCTTAGCGGATTCTGAGAAATCAAAGTTATATGAATGCATCATCTCCACATCCACTTGTTGGACACTTGATGATGATGATGATGATGATGATGATGATGATGATGGTTTTTGATTCTTGGAGACCTCACAAGATTGGGGCAACACCGAGATGATAAAACACTGCTTTTGAGAAAAGGAATACCTAAAACATTAGCTGTAACTTTTATCATGCTTATATTATAAGCGAACTTCAGGATATTTTTGTGAACTTCAGGATATTTTTGCTCAGAGATGCTACTATAAATCAGATTTCTTTTGTTTTTAATGATGTTCCTTTTTACATGTTGTGTGTGTATGACCAACAGTGAGATGAGATGTAAGGAAATGGTTTTTTCTTATTGTCCTGAGACCAACTCGGCTTAACTTCAGACATATTTGCCAGATCTAGAAACGCTTAGAATTAAACCATAAAAGCATGAAGCCTGGGAGTAAGAGCAATTATGTTTTCTTCTTTCATAAAAAACAAATTTAAAATGTTCACTTGGATTTTACTATAGAACTGTGCTAGTATAGTTTTATAGTAAAATACAATGCTCACACCAACTGTGACAGTGATTTATACAGATTCCTAAAAAAATGCTACTGAAGTTCTGCTACATTTACAATGCTACATTTGTATACACAATATGTATACAATGTGAATGATACAATGATGAAATCTTACAGTTTCAAAAAGGCACATTTCCACCTACCCACCCATCTCCATATATTCACAACCACAAGATGAGCTTTAATAAGGAAAATTTAGGTTAGTGAAGGAAAAAATGAATATTTCCAGTACCTATCTTTTTCCTTCCTTCCTTTCCAGCTTTGAGAGATATAGCAGTACATAAAATTTAACGCACAAATTAAGGTTGGAAGACCTGTAATCTATGTTCACACCCATTGAGTTGGCTGCAAAAGATCAGAAGAACTAAGCAAAGTAATTGCTGTAAAGCACTGAATAAAAGTGATCTTCTGCAGACTCACAGACACACACAATGTAAGAAATATGTTTCTTAAAAGTAGCATTTTAACTATCCTGTATATTAACCCCAATAATGAATCACTAATGAACACTTTTACACTGCAACTGTTGAGCATGATTAATCAATCAAGTTTCCCATATAGCCAAAAAAAAAAAAAAAAAAAAAAAAAAAAAAAAAAGAAAGAAAAAGAAAAAAGAAAAAAAGAAAAAGAAAGAAATGAGAAGGAACATCCTATAAGCCAGTGATTGTGAAACAAGAAGGAATTCAGGGGCACCTGGGTGGCTCAGTTGGTAAAGCATCCGAATCCTGATTTCGGCTCAGGTCATGATCTCACAGTTTGAGAGTTCGAGCCCCGCACTGGGCTCCATGCTATACCGGTGGAGATCCTGCTTAGGATTCTCTCTCTCTTCCCCACCCCCACCCCACCCGCTACTCCCACATGCTCTCTCTCCCCCTCTCAAAATAAATAAATAAACTTAAAGAAAAAGTTTCAAAAAATTTTAAAAAGAAGGAATTCAAGATATGTAAATATTGTAAATGTTAATACACAAGTATAATGATTTTAAGAGGATGTCTGAACCCACCGATGTTATTGAATACCTCTTAAAATTATGTAGCCTTGACTTCATGGGCACCTGATAGCTTGGCCTGTTCCCAAGAAAGCACTTGAGCCATAATCTTTTACAGCAGAAAAGCAGAGAAAGACGCTTCCAAGTGGGTACCTGTACTCCCATTTGCCAACAGGACTTTTCCTCTGTGACTATTTATGTTCTTAATTTCTCAATGAAACCTGAAAAAAAATCAGTTCTCATCTTTTTGCTATTACTGAGTGATTCAAAAGTTGCACGACACGAATGCTAATATATTTGAAATGCTTATAAGTAATAATATTTCGGTAAATGTAACAGCACACAAAGAGTTTTCTAAGAACTTCTTTTGATTTCAGTGCTTTGAAAAGACAAGACTGGGGACCAGTAGGTTTTTCTACATTATCTTCCAGAGTTTCCTTGACTACGAACCTTCAGCCTGATAAGGTCCAGCACCTCTTTCTCATCAGTTTATTATGCAACATGGCAACAACATGGTTTTAAGGGTAATTTCCAATTAGAGCAGATCTGTAAACTGTGAGTCACTGAGATTACACAAAATTGGTATTTGGCTTCCTTTCAAGTTTCAGATTCATCACACAACGGTGTGATTACCATACAGAGGAGGTAGCATCAAAAGAAATGAGCAGAATGTGTTTAAATAATACACACTACCAAATTTTACAGCTGGCCTTTTATATTCAAATGATATTAAGCACACTGTCATGTTCAATTGAAAACATTTTAGATCTAAAAATATACTGTTGAAACAAATGACATAGTGAGAAACAAGACCAAAATCTATTTTTATAAAATACAGTCTATAATTTTCAGATATAAAAATGCTACATATAACCATACTTAGATATTTTCTAAATTATAATCTGAGATTTATATTTTTAAACATTATCTCTGGTGAGTTTCAAATTTAGTATTTTTACAGAGTTTAAATCTCTATATTGAATCTTTATGCTTCTTTTTAAAACTGGAACTGAGCAAAAACATAATTCTAAAACAAGATTCCTGACTTCAAAGAACTGTGTCTTCAGATAACCTTTCTTCTTAAGTTGGAACCAATTTCCTTAAAGTTATACTTCCTCTCCTTTGAGCTCTAAGTAGAAAAATTCATGATTTGGACTTCATTTTGACTTTCTTCTGGTTTTTGGATTCCTTTATGCTATTCTGACATCACTAATGCATCTTATCATATCTTCCCCCAAAGCAAGTTGCTCATTGTATGTTGCTCTCAAGTATTTTATTGAAATATAACCCAACAGAAGAAATTACACTTCTTGCTTCAATTTCCCTTAATCAGTGATAATTCCAATCATAACAATAGCTGGATTTGTATTTTTTATTCTGGATTCCTAATTACACGGAACAATTGAGGGTAATTCAAAAGCGTTTCAGAATCACCTACTGCCTGGATTCTGGAAAACGTCTTTTGTGAAACAGAATGTTAATGCTCTGAGGACTCTATTATAGCTGTGCCAACATGTTCTGTGCACTTTGATGGAATGAGAAGATAAAAGGCGAGGTTCACCATAACTAATATTGCAATGCCACTATGTGCTGACACTCCTGTCAGTCAACAAATATTGAGAACCTATTTCGTTTTAATTTTTAGTTGTATGCATTTGTATATTGTTAACTTCTAAAGATGACTGGTATAAACTTAGGAGAATCAGCTTGATATATACTTAAGGTATATGGTCATTTTTATGAAGATCTTATGAAAGTACTATAGACCATGAATGTCTGCATCTAAGTGATTAGAGGAGATAATGTTTCGAAGAATTATCTAAAATGAGCAATATTTCAGTAGATGCTTTAGTTCTTAAATACTTCCTTATTTTAAACTGACCTGTTGTAGAGAGCTATAAATAACATCAACTTTTGGTCTGTTTCACAAAATAGCAAGTTTTATCCTATATCATGCTTGATACTTTAAAAACCCTTGACCTTATCCTCATCTGTATGAAATATTTTGGTATATTAATTTCTTTCTGGATAAATCAGTAATAACCAGTATGTGCGTGCATGCACACACACAGATAACAATAAAATAAAAAGGCCTAATAAAGAGTATGTTAGTAAACTTCTTTACAGAGAGGTAGCCAACATGGAAAGCCATGACTCCTTTTTCCATTTTATAAAACAGAGCATAAGTAGTATTTTGCAAGGCTACAAAGTTGTTTTTTTTTTCTATTTGTACCATTTTTTGGTAAAAGTAGGAATTTCTTTCTTTCCTTTTTTTTTTTTTTTTTTTTTTTTTTTTTTTTTTTTTGCATATGCATCTATGAACTCTAAAGGTAGGCAAATAAGAACTATGAGACCAGTGAATTACTTTTGTCTACTTCTGCTATGCTAATCAGGTGAGAGAAATCTGGGTTTCATATTAGGAGCCCTTCTGAACGGTTTAATTCCTTTACAGCTACCATTAGCTGTCAGCTTCGCCATGGATATTGTCCATGTGCACTTTGAGGTAGTCATTCCTTGTAAACTTCTTATGGCAAAACTGGCATTCTGCCAGGGGACGATTGGGATTGTGAGTCATCTTGTGTCGGATCAGCATTTTCTTCAGGCTAAAAGCCAAGTCACAAACCTAGAAAAGACCCAAAGACACCAATTGTATTATGCTGAAAAACCTGAAGATATGCCAACTTATCACGTACACAACATACATTATGCATCTTCCTACTGTTAAGTATGCACTGACGGGCATAAGAACAAAAATTCCTAGAAATAAATGGAATTTAACATCCCAACTAAAGGGTAAAGAAAAATAATTACAGTTCCCAAGAGCTGTTTGCACCTAGTGTGTGTCCTCTATACCCTAACCACCCTCCCTTCCTCTCTACTGCTATATTTAAACATGTCTAGATAAACAACTCCCTGGGAACAATATCTTTCTCCCCATGATGGAGTGTATTGACATTTTCATATTAAACCCTTTAAACAAAATGCCTAATGGCCCAGAGGGCATCTCCCTGTTTGACATAAATAGCACAAGACTTGTCTCTCCAGTGATCCCTTCCATTTAGCCCCATTTGAGAAGTGAAAGGTTAATGCTGCTTTAAGCATCCTAAGTGGAAGTTTACTACCCACAATTCTGATTCTTTATTTCTTATCATATACACTCATTTAACTAGGGAATCTAACATGTTAACTTCATATAAGCTCTGCCACATTGCCACCTGGCCCAACAAATATGAACAGTCCAATAATTAAAATATTAAATTAACACAGAAGATGTAAGGTCCTCCTGCCTCAGTACTTTCCCACTTCTCTTTATGTAGCTTCCTCTTACTCATTCTTCAGGGAAGCCTGTATGATCTGTGGGCCAGAAGTCCTCTGTTAAGTGCTTTCATGGTAGCCTTTACTTTTCCTTTATAATACCTGCTTTAAATATAATTAGTTACTAGATAATTCCTTTAAATGTCTGTTTCCTTGCAAGTCTAAGAAACATGATAGTAAGAGTAAGAATTCTGTAAATATTTGTTGACTTAAAGAAAGAAAGGTAGATACATGTTTGATATATAGGTAAAACCCCTAAGAGCAATATAAGTATGTCAAAAACTATCGAATAATTCTAGAAAAATCAAGCACGGTGACTATGGAGATTATTTTCAAGTGAAACTCTAAACTTCTAAATTGTTTTTTTATAAAATTTGTTAAAATAGATTATCATAAATAGCACAGAATTAAAATGTATCCCTTATTTTCCATTTCTCTGGCTCCTTCTCTAAAACCCATGTAATGAACAATAGATACCAAATTTTTCATTGGCTTCCCACCGAAATTAGATTCAAAATAAATTTCTTAGCATGCTTGAAAGGCTCATCAATTTGCTCTCCAACTTCACTTGTACCCTTTCTTTCTCACTATGCTTCAGCTCCACCTGCCTTTTTACCTCCCCTAATACCCAGGCTCATTCTCACCTACAGGCCTTGATTTGTACCGTTCCTTGAGCCTGGAATGTTCTCTTCCCCATGGCTGACTCCTTCTCCTCTTTTAGGTTACTTAGAGTTACTTTCTCAGAGACTTCTTCCTTAAGTATTCCTTTATCTCTTTTTAAATTGTTTCCAGTCTTTATCATAAAATGCAATTAGGTATTTATTTAGGTTTAGTTGTTCAATGTCAATACCCCACAGGAATGTTGAGTTCTGTGAGCACGGGGACCTGATATCTTGTTCACTATTTCATTTCAGTGTCTGGCCCAGGGACTAGGTTGAAGGGCTAACATCAGCTTTCATTATGTGCCAGGAAGCACTCTGTGCAACTTATAAAAAATTCACTTGTGCAATCCTCACCTCACCCTTTTAGGCAGATACTAATACTATAAACTCCATTCTATAGAAGGAAACTGACAGTCACTTCAGTGTCTCAAGCAGGTTACCCAAGGTCATAGAACTAGGAAGTGGTTTCTGGGGTTTAAACCCAAGCAGTCAGGGTTCAGAGTTTTTGTAACCCCAAGGACCAACTATTATTAAAAGCTCAAACTTCAAACAAAGATATGTAAGCTGACTGTACTTTTTCCACTTGTCTGGCTGATACCATTTTTAAGAAATAAAAACCTCTTTGGAAAAATACAGGAGGTTCTCAGTTCAGCTCACCAGTGTATTGTGAGAGACACAAAGTTCAAGTTCATTTACACGGTCACCATGGGAAAATTACAGCAGCAGCAAGCTAGAGAAATGGAAGGGAAGTAAAACAAGATGCTAAAGTCACTGACAATGGCTCTCAATTAGGGAGTCCTAGAAGCTCCATATAGGAGATGGGATGGGAACAACCAAACAGATTTTGAATGAGGGCCAGGTAGAGGATTCAATGTCAGTAGAGAGCAGGTGATGTCACAGTTGTGAAAGTGACTACCTAGACATTAAAAGCTATGTTTTTATGAACTTAAATGTAGTCACTAAGAGACTTCAAACTGATGTTCTGTATAAATTAGCCAACTGTAAGGACATTCATGGTCATTTTAATATTAGGGGAAAGCAAGGAATAATTCAAATAGTGTAACAGGGATGCTTCCTCTTCTTCCTTTCCACCTGAGATTCTTATCCAATCCTTCAACCTACTCCAAATTAGTATTAATTCACAAGCAAAAGAATAGGAAAATATTTAGTCTTTTTCTAGGCTAGAGGTAAACTGAGTTTGTTTTAAAATGAAGTAAAACAACACATTTAATAGAACATACCTTGAGAGATAATACTAGAACATGATACAAACATCTTACAGTAACAAATATTTATCACATACAATGTGCCTGCCACTTCAGTTAGAAACAGAATGACAAAGAGTCTTGTCCTGTTCTGTGAAGTCCAGAGTCCTAAGGAGAAATATTTTCATGTCATGAACATAATTCTAGAAGAAGGAATAGGAGAGCACAATTAAGTCTTCCTGGATGCATGAGGGTTGTCATGTCATAAGGTGGGAAATGATATTCTGGGGGGAGGGAAGAGAAGGTGCAAAGGCACAGAGCTGTAAAGAGCAAGGCTCATGTGGGGAAGTAAAAACAGTTCCCTAAGGCTGAAGAAACAGAATATTAGAGAAATAAATTGAAATCAATCAATCAATCAATAAAAGAATCAACTTGAAAAAGAAGTTAGTGTTAAAGTCTGGACAACGCCCTACTTCAGTTCAGGTCACAATCTTGCAATTTGTGAGTTCGAGCCCCACATCAGTCTCTGTGCTGACGGCTAAGAGCCTGGAGCCTGCTTCGGATTCTGTGTCTCCCTCTCTGCGCCTCCCCCACTTGCACGCTCTCTTTCTCTCTCTCTCTCAAAAGTAAATAAACATTAAAAAAAGTTGGAGGCTAGAGCCAAACCCTGGTAATCATAATAAGAAACTGGAAGTATATTCTGCAAGTGGTGGGGATTTATTAAAGGATTCTAAATAGAGACTAACACCCAAATATCATTTAGTCAGCAAGCTTGAGAGTATGAAACTGGGGGCAGCAAGGCCAATGTTATTATTACACTTCAAGCCAGAAATGATTTGGATATGAACTAAAGACAGCAATCATTGATTCCTTTATTCATTCTTTCAAAAACCTTCATTAAGTGCCTCCTATATGCCAGGCATAGTTCTTGGCCTGGGGATCCAGCAGTGAACAATAAAGAAGAAGAAGAAGAAGAAGAAGAAGAAGAAGAAGAAGAAGAAGAAGAAGAAGAAGAAACAACACCTCTGTTGTCATTAAGCTTAAAATACATGATAAATAATTAAACAAACAAATATGTAATATATCAAGTGGATATAAGTGCCGTGAAGGAGAAGAAGAATATGGGGTGAAGGTTAAGAAAGTAACAGAAATAAGAGAGTAATTTGAGCACAGAACTAAGTACAGGAGAAGGCCATAAAGTTCTCTGAGAAGGGTGTCCCAGATCAGGGAAGCAGGAAATACAAAGACCTATTCATTGGAATATGCTTTGTTTGTCTGAAAAATGGCAATGAAGTGATGTGGTCAGAGTGAGGTGAAGGTGGTAGTGAGGTCAGTGCTTGGGGCAGGAGGGTTGGGGGTGCAGGTCTGTAAGGACTTTCAGATCATGGTAAACTTTGGTTTTCACTCTAAATGGGATAGACCGCCATTGGAAGGCTTGAGCAAATGAGTAAATATATAGTCTACATATATAATATATAAAACCTGACAAAGGTTCTAAAAAGGACACTCTGGGTGGTAAGCTTAAGACTCTGTCAGGAGCAAAGACAGGAGAAGAAAGATAAATTAAGAAACTGTTTCAATATTCAAGGAGACTAAGCTGGTAGCTGGGCAGATGTGAAAAGTGTTCAGATTCTCCATTTATTTTAAATATGGAGCCAACTGAATTTGCTACTGGACTGGATATCAGGAGTGAGAAAAAGAGAGGAGTGAAGGTGGCAGTGGAAATTTAGAGGAAGAAAGATTTTCAGGAATTACTGTGTCTGAATGGCAGGTACATGAGCTTGAACCCTCGAATCCTGACTCGGCCAATTAGAAGTGGAAGGAAAGAGACAAGTTACGCACTTCAGTGAGCCTCAGTTGTTTCATATAGGTGGAAATAACACCTAGATATTTCTGGGTTGTAGTGAAGATCAGAGAGAATATATATAAACTGGATCACTGTGTCTTCCCCACAATAGAAGCTTGACTAGTTGATGCTATTGGTCATGGCTTAAGGAAAAAAAAAGCATCTGGCATGAGAATCAGAGCTTTGGTTTTGGTTATTTGGAGATGGTGAAGCCCTCAGAAAGACGTATAGGTTTTTTTTTAAGTTTATTTATTTGAGAGAGAGAAAGAGAGAGGAAGGAGGAAAAAGAGAGAGGGGGGAGAGAGAGAGAGAGAGAGAGAGAGAGAGAGAGAGAGAGAGGATGCCAAGGAGACTCCACGCTGTCAGCATGGACCCAGATGTGGGGTTTGATCTTACAAACTGTGATATCATGACATGAACAGAAATCAAGAGTCCAAAGCTTAACCAACTGAACCATTCAGGAGACCCAGAGAGATGTATAGTTAAAGGGAATATGTTGAGCAACTAAGCTGGCTGGGGAAATATTGATTTCAGTAAGGAATATAGGAGAGAAGTCTCTTAAAATTTTTTTAAATGTGTATTTATTTTTGAGAGA